AAACTTCTTAAAGGAAAAGTAAATGTTCTCTGTTTTAGATATTACCAGACACACTAAAAAGTAATTCATAATTTGACAATATTCTAAGAATTGAAATACTTGAGAGAATTCACAAAAATGTTCCTAGAGAGGTAACAGTAATGGAGAAGCAGAGCTGGCAAAATCAGATCAAATATCTGTGCACTGCATCTGCACTACAGCATACCATTTTAGAGTACACATTTTCCCCAAAGAGTAGTCAACACAAATTCGATTATAAGATACACAAAGTTCTTCATTCCACCTAATCTACTTTTTTCTCTTTTTGTGACAAGGTCAAGCTGGAGTATAGTGGCAAAATCACAGCTCACTGAGGCCTCGACCTCCTAGACTCAAGCAATCCTCCCACTTCAGCAGGAGTCTCCTGAGTAGGTGAGACTACCAGCATGTGCCACCATGCTTGACGAGTTTTTATGTTTTTTGTAGAGATGGGATGTCATTATGTTGCCCAAGCTGGTCTCAAACTTCTGGGCTTCAGTGATCCTCCCACCACAGCCATGTAAAGTGTTAGGATTACAGGTGTGAGCCAACGTGCCAAGCCTAATTTTTTATTAGATGTACTATGTCAAAATTCCACCTACCCTTCAGAACCTGGTTAAAATCTCATCTACCCCGCCAATGTTAACCTTGTGGTGACTTCTTCTCTCCTCTGATTCTTGGGTGTTTTGCTTCTGCCTCTATTACGAACTTTTTATTATGGTTGAGTAAGTTTTGGAGACCTAGAGAAACCCTACTTATTCTATGATCCCAGCCAAAAAGTTCCTTTTTAGCTGAAATCACCCCTGACCCTCCCTACTCTAGTTAGTTACCACTCCCTCCTTTTCTGCTAATGACGAAGGTACATTACACCTGTTCTAACTCTCATTTACTTACCTACTAAAAAGACTGGGCGGGGGGAAACTAAACATTTGTGAGTTCATTTAAGACAGAGTATATAAAAACATCTTTTTCGTCTTTGGTCCCCAGCATATAATATAGAATCTAGGTCAGAGTTCTCAGCCTTGAAACTGTTGACATTTGGGGCCAGACAATTATTTGTTGTGGGGACTGTCCCATGCATGATAGGATATTTAGCAGTATTGATTTTCAGTCCTGACAACCAAAAATCTCAGCAGACATTGCCAAATATCCCCTGGGGTCAAAATTGCTCCCAGTTAAGAATCACTGATTGCAACCATAGCAGAAATTAAATGTTCTTTGACTTGAAGTCAGGATTGTCTGGGGTTTTTTTCCCTCCATTTTAGCTCTTCAACATCACCTAACACTAGAAGAAAGTGAAACAAACATACTTAAATAAAAGAGTGATTTAAACAAGTTTCAAATTAAAAGAAAATCTTCCTTCTGAGCCATTAAAAATAGAGCCTACAAGGATGACATACATTCATTCATGAGAGAAGTGACATGGCATATTGGTTTACGGTATGAATTCTAGCATGGGACTGGCTAGATTCAAATCCAGAGAGCATGGGTTTATACACCAGCTCCCAGTGTTCTAGCTCAGTAACCTCAAGCAAGTCATTGAACCATGTTGCACCTCAATGTTCTCATCTTAAAATGAGGATATAAATACTTCCTACCTCAACAAGACTATGCAAAGATCATGAGGTAAGATACATAAGGTTACTGGAACAGGGCCCGACAAGTATCACTTATTATTTAGCAAATTGAATATCTACTATATACCAGGTGTTTTACAAGTAGTAGGGAACAAAAAGTTCAAGCCCTCATGGAGCTTTAATTCCAAGATACAAGAAGAGTAGAGAGTGGTGCATTGTAAGTGACAGAATGACAGAGCAGCGACTGAGGTCCCATGAGGAGTTGTCCTAGGCAATAGCTAAAGGAAAAAGGGTCTTATTGGGAACTGTTCTGAAGCCAGACCACACTTGATGTGTTCAAGCTATAGCAAAGAGCACAGTGAAAACTGAACAATGTATTGTTTTTTCAAGAAGAAAAATGTAAAATTGGAAATTCTCTTTGAGAAAAAAAAAAATCTAAGCAAATTTTAAAATACTACAAAATATGCCAAAAATTTAACAAGTGTTTTGTTTGCGTAATGAGACTTTGAGTGATGCATTTTCTTTTTTTCTTTTCTGTAATACCCAAGTTTTCTGAATATATATTATAGTACTGCAGTGTTTCTAAAAAATCAAAAAGGCTTTACCAGTGAAAATACTTGTAAATAAAAGATAATTTTGATTTATACGGGATTATTTATAATGTTTTCCTTCATTTTGTAGCTGAAATGTATTTGTATTTTATTTAAGTATTTTAATGCATGCCTAACACAGTTTACTCATTATTATTCCATTCAATATTTTGACACAAATTTTTTTCTGCCTATATGTTGAACACAAATTATATCTTTTTGGCTGATGGTTCACAATATAGATGTTTATCTTTTAAAATTTCTTCATGTCTTCTAATGTGAAAAAAAAAAAATCCCATCCATTTAACAAACTTTTCTTCAACTGGGTAGTCAGCAAAAATGTTAAAATAGTTCACTTAATGGTTCTTTCAAAATATATTTTTCCAATTCAAGGAAGCAGCAAAGAAATTGTAGAAATGGGTTCCATATCTAGGAAACAAATGATATTTATAATGTCTTTACTTATGTCTAAATATTTCCATTTCTACATGTACTTCTTAAATTATATGCCTCAGCTATGACACAATTATAATTTAGAATTTCTATATCTAATAGTAATTTTTTAAATGATTAAGTTGTCCCTTTTGAATTTGACATAAATACAACTTTTTACATTCACCATTTTTGCAACATCTTTTGGTAATTTTCTTGACACAATAAATCTATGCTTTAAAACATTAAGATTAACATTTCACTATGAACTGTAAACAAAGCTTGCCAAAATAAAATGATTGAGCCTGGTTTTAAATGTCTACCCTCAAGAGGCACTCAAAATGCAGCAATGATTTTTCTGTAGTTTCTACTGCTTTAGTTCCCTTAAGAAACGAAGTGTAAATCACAGAAATTCTTCACTTCTTAGAGCTGCAGAGACATTTAAAAGACAGAGAGAGATGCAGGAGAAGAGGAAATAAGAGTGTACATTAAGAGTAATTCAGAGGGCCAGGCACAGTGGCTCACGCTTGTAATTCCAGCACTTTGGGAGACCGAGGTTGGCAGATCATCTGAGGTTAGGAGTTCGAGACCAGCCTGGCAAACATGGTGAAACCCCATCTCTACTAAAAATACAAAAATTAGTTGGGCATGGTGGTAGATGCCTGTAATCCCAACTACTTGGGAGACTGAGGCAGGAAAATTGCTTGAACCCGGGAGGCAGAAATTGCAGTGAGTTGAGATTGCATCACTGCACTCTGGCCTGGGTGACAGAGTGAGACTCCATCTCAAAAACAAAACAAAACAAAACAAACAAACAAAAAGATAATTCAGAGAAATTCTCCCTTAAGTTTATTCACCTGGAATTGATAGGACCAAACATTGTTATAAGCATTATCACTATAGATTTGTGGGGATGGAGGATGGAGAGGGCTTGAATAATTGTGAATTTATATGATCTCCTATTGCCTACACACTCCTTCTATGTCCTTTTTATTTTCTTCCATTTTACACTGGGGGTGAATTGTAGTGCAGGAGTCTGCTAGTGAATACAGAGGAGAGTTCTAAAAGTTTCTCTCATCCAATAAAACAAGTCAGTGTAAAACATACTTGTCAATAAAAACTATTTTTTACAGACCTAAATAACTGTATACATTCTTGAAAATGAATAACAAAATTTTATTTTACTTGATGCACAGTAAATTCTTTACAAATATTGTTTTGTTTTAAATTTTATATAATTATTTGGTATATCTTATATCAACTACTATCAACACTGCTTATTTAATGTATTTTTACAATAAAATTAAAATTTTAATGATAGCTTTTCATCTATTAAAATGTCTATATATGTGCAAAAATTTTGTTTTTTATAGCTAGACATGAGACAATGGGTTAAAAAATGATCTTAATTGTTAAGCATATTTTTACATTACATCTTTACATTTTCAGCCAACACAATGTCGGAATATTTTAAACACAAATATTATTTAGAATAGTTCTTAAAAATATTTGACATTTCAAAATAATACCAAATTTCATTTTAAAATTAAATGTTACTTAAGAAAGTTGTTTCCTTTCCTAAAAAATTAACAAACGAAAAGCAAGGAAAAAAACCCTAATCCAGTTAGCAATCTTCTTACCTTCCTTTAGTCACATGTAGTGCCAAGAATAAGGTGTCTATTTAACATGTTTCTTCTTTCCATGACTTGCAGTGAATTGTGGATATCTATCCATAAAGGAAATTGTGTGTGAATGCCAACATGCATAGAAATTTAATTCCTAACATATAAGTATCAAATCAAAACCTTAGACACCAGCCAATGCCGTCCCAAGAATGTAACACACTTGAGGACAAGCTTCCTCTTGAGCCAACTCTGTCAACAGACACCACTTTTATTTCATGTACTCCCATTCTCTGGCACCTCTTTTCTTCCTGCTATCACAAATACGATTTTTTTAAAAGCCACTATCAAGGTAGTAAAAATGGCTTTAATTTATACTTGGTGTATTCATTTGCTAGGGGTGCCATAACAAAACACCACAAATGGGGTGGGTTAAACAGAAACTAATTTTCTCATGGTTCTATCGGCTGCACATTTATTGAGGTGCCAGTGGGGTAGGCTTTCTCTGAGGTCCTTAAGGGAAAATCTGTCCCAGGCATTTATTTGCCTTTTAGATAACTGTTCTTTAGATTAGTGATCCCAGGGCACCAGGGACCAGTGTTGGGGAAGACAATTTTTTCACAGAAGCTGAGGGACAGGGGTGTTTCAGGATGAAACTGTTCCACCTGAGATCATCAAGCATTAGTTAGATTCTCTTAAGGAGATCACAAACTAGATGCCATGCAAAGCGGTTCACAAGAGGGTTCGC